AACATTCGTGTCATTTGCATTACAGTGGCTTTAATGAGTCTTCTCTTTGTCCTAAATGTACTGGCTTGTCGTTAAAAGAAAAAAAAAAAAAAACAAAACAGAACTCCCTTGACTTTCAATAGATGAAACAGGAAAGTGGCTGTGGTGGGGAGGTAGAGCAAGATTAATTATTTTTTGAGGGACTTGATTTTATTTATTTGTTTTTAATTGGATGAGGTGCAAACATGGCCTTTTAACTTACACTTTTGGCATGTTTTTTTGTACCTGTGAATCTTGCTAAGTTTCTCTTAACTGATGGACTGATATTAAACAGTTTTATGATAGCTGAATAGCATTAACCTTCATGGTGACTTTCACTATAAAAATAGCTTTGCCCTTATCTACCCAAAGCCTTTTAAAATGTGGAAGTAAAACAGAATTTCATCTCCTCTCTGGGAGGCTAGTAGCTGAAAACAAATGAAACTTGCCAGTCCAAGGAGAAGTCATCCCTTAACCTGGCTAACAGACTGTTTTCTGAGGGCTGGAACAAGGAGCAGAAATTCTGCAAGTCTGAGTTGCCTGCAGGTTGAAACTTCCTCAAAATTGTACGTTCCCAGGTTTCTTAAAAGTCTGCAGTTTTCTTAACTCAGCTAACGAAGTACCAGCTGGTACTGCATTTGCACTGATAAACTGTGATATACCATACTTACATACTGGATAGTTTGACTGGGGAAACTACTAAAGGTGAGCTACAGCTGGGATTAGATGCATTGTCAAGTGGTGTGACAATGGTTTACTTTGAATCTTTGTAAAATTATTCATTATAGAAGAGATCATGTTCAGAAAAGACCATGTTCAGAAAGTTACTCCAATTGAGTAATCTAATGATTACTAGTATCTAATAGCTGCACTCTAAAGGCTGACATGTGAATCACCAGTGTATAGTTTGATGCACTTTTTCTTCTCACAAATGCTGTCAATTTTCCAGTTGTTTAGTTCTCACTTTCACTCTACTGTCTCTCCAAACCATCAATGATATGGCATCATATGGGTTAAGGAGACAAGAAAAATAAAATTCCAAGTTAAATTTCTAGAAAATTACTCCTCTGTGATTACACATGGGCTTGTGATGCAGAGGGCCAATTATCACTAAGATGTGATTCAAATAGATGTAATTCTATCTGTATGCTTCAGAGTATGGAGAACTCATTTGTACTTGATGTAAGCAAGCAGTCATTATTTCATGTGATAGGCACATGTTACCACTGATCCTCAGGGAGAGTTTTCATCAGGCTTGTTTTTAGCTGAAGAGCCATGGAAATACCAAAGCTACCTCTTTTTTTCTTTCAAACTGTTCCAGTTATTTCCCTGCCAGCTCTTCCATAGCAGAAAAGTACTCTTTTAAACTGGCTTACATTAAATTGCTTAGATAATAAACATTATCTAGTTCAGATCTTACTATGGCTAAAAAATACTAAGATTACCCAGGACTAAGCAGATTTCATCTACTTAGTTCTTCGCAATCCATGAAGGACAAATTCTCACCTGATAAAAACAGGAGGCCGCTTGTGCCATCAAAAACTTGAGAGCGAAGCTGTCTGTCCCTTAGCTGCAGTTACAGAGTCAAAGTGTGGTTAGAAGTAAAACTCTGTGATAATAAAGCCCCACAAAAATCTAGATTCATTTTGGGCAACAGCTTTTAATAAAAGATGTTAAAGCAGTAGAAATAGGTAAGGCTGATGTTACAGACCTTTGCTGCTTTCTGAGCTTTCTGGGTATCTCTTCTTACGGAATTTTCTTCTTGCAAAAAAAATCTGGCTGTTTATACCAGCCAGATTGATCACTCTTGGCTGAAAATTACTTTGCAAATTCATAGGGTCACATGAGCAGCTGTGTAGCATGCCCAGAGTTTGCATCAAGGATGTGGCCCTTTTCAAAGTTGCCCCTTTCCTATATATATATATATATCTATCTATATATCTATCTTTTCACTCATTCTAGTCTCTGGTACAACATACATGAACATTTTAGTACGGTTTGTTTGTAAGATAGCTGTATTGTCTCAAATTTCTGGCAAATTTCTATTATTGGCAGTGGTGCTGGAACTTGAGACCTCTGGATCCCATGGCGCCTCTGCTGTAGTCACAAGTATATGAACAGGAAGGATGCAGCTGATTTATAAAATCTTGATGCAGCCCAGTCACTACATGGGGAAACAGACTCACAATAAGAACTGCCATTCATACAAGCTCAGACCAGGTGCTCCCCTACAACAAGGTCCAGGAAAGCGCTACAAGATCAATGTTTCACTTCCAGAATTATTAGTGTCTCTTTCAGGGTGACATTTTCAAACACATTAAGTGATTTTTTTTTTTTTTTAACCTTTTTTTCCAAACATGCCTAAATAACATAAGTTTTCCAAATAGCTTGGCTGTGTTAAGTTACCTTCTCTTTTTAGTTTTCCAGCTGCATATTTGGGTCTTTATTTTGCTGAGTTCTGTCCTTACTCTGAGTTTAATCTTACACAGAAGATAAACAGATCCAACCTGCTTTAAAATACTACCCTTTTTTTTTTTTTTAACCTTTTTTTCCAAACATGCCTAAATAACATAAGTTTTCCAAATAGCTTGGCTGTGTTAAGTTACCTTCTCTTTTTAGTTTTCCAGCTGCATATTTGGGTCTTTATTTTGCTGAGTTCTGTCCTTACTCTGAGTTTAATCTTACACAGAAGATAAACAGATCCAACCTGCTTTAAAATACTACCCTTTA